GCTCCGCTGTAAGTATATGATTATCCAAATCAATTATGCATGATTTCTATTAAAATATATATTTAATAGGTGAAGGTGATATTTCAGGCCAACGTTTCACCGAATATACAAAAAGAAGGCGACGGAAGGTTTTGGATCGCTGCCATACTTGATGGCATTATTAAGTTCTACGCTTTGGTTATACTATGCATTGCTTAAAAGACATGATGCTGTTCTCCTTATTTCAATCAACTCGTTTGGATGTGTCATAGAGCTCATCTACATTGTCATCTTCATAACGTATGCGCACAAGGATTCCAGGGTATATAAACTAACTTTTATTATAAATTCTAATTAAGTTAGAAATTAATTAGTGGATTAAAAATGAACATATGGATACTTTTATTAAATTACAGAACTTGACCATTAAGATATTTGTGGCGATGAATATGGGGGGCTTGGCGGTGGCTCTTTGTGTGAGCAATTTTGCTCTACATGGTCCTCGCCGTCTCAAAGTCCTTGGATGGATTTGTGTGAGCGTTTCGGTGTTTGTCTTCGCATCACCTCTAAGCATTATGGTGAGTATGTATCAGTGTCACTAAGTAAGCTACCTCTATCACCTTATGATTATTATTAATTTATTTCTTGCTCTGCCTGCAGGCACAAGTTTGTAAAACTAAGAGTGTACAGTTTATGCCCATCAATTTGTCATTTTTCCTCACATTCAGTGCCATAATGTGGTTTGCATACGGTCTCCTTATCCACGACTTGTGTGTTGCAGTAAGTCCCTTTTAATTAAATGTCACTTACTGCATATATACATACATATATAAATGAATTGAATTTGATTGTTTCAGATTCCAAATGTGGTGGGTTTTATACTGGGGATACTCCAGATGGTGCTATATTGCATTTACAGGAACGGTGAGAAGGGAGTGACCGAGCAAGCATTAGAGGCAGTGAGAGTTGTGAACCCTTCTGAAGTCTTCCCAATCCCAGAGGATGACAATAGCAATGGGCTACAAGATCACCAGGACAAAACTCTGGATTGCCCTGTGTGAAATAACTACAATTACTATGCAACTCCTCTATGTTTACGTTTACCAATCATGTGTGTCACTTTAATGCCAATTCATTGTTCTCCTACCTTGTCAAACCCTACCATCATGTGTTCAAACCCTTTATTAATTAAAATGCATTACTTTACTTACTTTAAATAAACTTTTCTACTCATCTTTATCACTACTTGTCCAACCACCTACTTTATCAGTTAACAACGGACTATATAACAAACGTATAAAATAAAACATTCATCACATATAGTCTGAATTACATTATAACAGAAGAAATAATTTGACATATAATATACGCTAGACAAAACCATGCACTTTGGCCCATACATTCTGGTTACTTTTATGAACGCAATTCAAACTTGAAAGTTCAAAATTCATCATCAAAATTAAAGGATGGCTCAAACAGAAACAGAGCGAAACAAAAATATTAATTTAACTTGTGTACAAGAATTATAGTTTAATCCTCAAGTGAAACAGAGGAGTACTGATATTAATGGCATCCAACGAACACCACAATCCTAACACAATGAAATAGCTAGGTGTTCCCAACCAAACCAAAACAACGTCAGATTCAAGGAATTGGAATACCCAGTTTTGGAATCACTCCATAATCGCTATCAACACTGCTTTTTTATTTTATTTTATAGTCCACTCTTTATATTTGAGTTGAGTATGACCATTTGATTTACATGTTGCTCAGTTTGAACACCGAATCTGAACAAACATAATGGAACTCTTATATTTAATGAGTTAATCACTTATATATATTGTCAGTGTAAAGTCTTTTATATTAGCAATCAATTATATCTTTTATTTGTGTCATGTTACTGTTAAAAGTAAATATGCTTAAAGTAATATGACACAATTAAAAGATATAATTAGTTGACCCTGTAAAAAAACTTTGCACTCTTGGGAACTCATATTTAATTACATAAATTAATTCATAATGAAGTACAATGTACAAAAGTTAATATGGAAGTCCAGGGTCACAGTATTTTTTCTTTTTGGATCTTGTCTAGGGTGCTAGCTAGTATATTATAAATGGATTGAGTACAGAATAGGAGAAAGATACAGCTATCGTTTCTCTTCCGTATAATGTTGTCAAAATGCATTTAATCGAAGTCTCAAGTACAAATAAATTTACAAACATGTAAAGGACAGACATAACATTTAATTATATATGAAATTGAAAAATGTTGAATGATCATTCTATAATATATAAATCCAGGGAATTAAAGAGAAACAAAAGCATACCCTCCTTCTTTGCTGCCGCCACAGCACAAACTCTCCACACAAAAAAAAATTATTGAACATGTGGTCGTCAACATATTTTTCAGCCAAGCAATGCTAGTTATTAATAATCTACGGTCAATAATTTAATAAAAACTTGTTAATGCGATATATTAATGATAATGTAACATGTTACAAACGTGCAGATGTGACATGTGCACTAACATAACATTGACATGCTGACATGGTATTTAGGACAAAACTGTAATCATGATATTTTAGGAGTCAAAATTGCATTAATGATACTTTGGAGACATAAATTGTACAATTAATTTGTCTCAATAATTTATTATTATTTATTTTTATCTTTTTTATTCACTTTTTTCAATTACCATATTAATAATTTTAAAATTAAAATAATATTCACAAATAAATAAAAATTGAAAATAAAAAATAACAAAAAACTTTGACAAAACTAAAAGAATAAGAAAAGGGAGACGCACATGTTATTGTGACATAAAATAGATAAATAAAATTGAATAATAATTTATCTAATAAATTTATTATTTTTTATATCTAATTAATTTTGAATATTTTTATCTATTTAATATTTTATTAAATTAAATATATTTTAGATCTTATAAAATAAGTGGCCGTAAAAAAATTATTTTATTTTTCATTGTTTTAAAATATGAAACCACTATTTTTGAGTCCCTGTAACATAAACAAATTTTGATTTTAATTCTTATAAAGTATTTTTTTATTTTCATCCCTATATTTTTAAAATTATTATTTTTGTCTCTAAATATCATTTTAAAGTAAATAAATAACATTCATTTGTAGGTAGTTAGAAATTTTTTTTAGATATATTATATGCTAACATGTTACAATAAACTATGATAAATACTACTTGAGGTTAGTGGAGTTAAATATGTTTATCCAATCCAATCTATCGAACAAATACATGTAAAACGAGTCAGACTAATCCAAAATCTCAATAGGTTATTAATTTTCTAGCTTGACAAATTGTATTTTTAGAGAACTAGAATTGTACGTTCACAAAATTATAGAAATCAAAATAAATTTAATTCATATATATATATA